AAATCTGTATAAATTGTGATTCGGCAGAATTTATTGGAAATATTATTGTAAAGTCATATAAAATTTGTACAGAACATCTTGGTGAAACATTTCAAAGTTTTTCAGAATTTTCAAATATTCTTTCACATTTGGGAAAAATGAAATCTTTGTTAGTCAGTGTTAATTTTAGTTCCTGTAATCTTAATAACAGATTGTGTCAACGTATCGGAGAACTTTTAAATTGCTCTTGTTCTATTGAATCTGCCTATTTTACTAATAATCCTAATATAAAAAATGGTTTGGTATATCTTTGTGATGGACTTAAAAGCTCAAATTTCATTCTAAATAAAATTATATTTTCAAATTGTAATTTAAGAAACAGCTCATGTTTACATCTTGCAGATCTTTTAAGAAACTGTGAAAATATTAAAACAATTGATCTAAGTTTAAATGTAAAAATGCGAAATGGAATTATACATATTTTTAGACAACTTCAAAAGTCATCTTGCTATTTGGAAGAGATAAATTTAGAATATTGTAAAATAACGAGGAATGCTTGTGATATCTTTAACAATCTTTTGATTGAATGTCCATACCTTCAATCTGTTAAGCTTAAAGGCAATGAAAATTTAATAAATGATGTCAATATTAAACATCAGTTACACACAAACAGTAAGTTCTGCATGTCATAGTCATTTCTAATAATTATGTTTAAAGCAACAATTATTATGATCTTCCAATGTAAACTATTGTTAAAGTTTTTTTTGAAGTAATTGGCTCCCAGCCTGAAATTGATTTTTTTTTAGTATGGTTCTTATTCTAATACAATATATGACTATATTGAAAATGTTTAATGTTTTTTTTTTTTGAATGAACCAATGATTAATTGATGACTTCCAATAAAGTAATGAAAATAAATTTCTTTTATGATTGTATATTTGTTGATACTAGAATTTTTATAAGTAGTCCATTTAAATTATCTATGTTAAATGACCAAAGCTTAACAATATATGATTTTAACAACATTTCAGATTGAAAAATGGTTAGAAGGAGTCAAGTAGCTTTAGATTTATAGTTAGGAGGGTGGGTTCCATCTAAGGGTTAGGAGCAATCAAAAAGGTTAAGGAGAGACAAGGGCTAGGTTAGGGTTAGGGTTAAACCATGCATTTGGGGAAATTTTCTGTCGTATCCGATTTTATTTGACTTGTATCGGGAATTACTGCAAATCTTGTTTCAATTCTATTTTGTTACCGCCATTGTTTCTCTCACAAAACATTTTCAGCCACATTTACTTCTTTTATACTATTCTTTTTTTTAGTGTCCCTTAACTGGGGCCTTATTGTTTGGTTGTTTGGTCAACTCTGGATTGCTCAACTTGACGCAACATCACATCATGTTTGATGATAATAATTGGAACAGGGGCTTTAATGTGCGTATTTTTTTTACTTTTGAATGTGAACACCAGGAAAAGACAGAAAATGTCCCTATTTGCATAGTTTAACCCTAACCCTACCTAGCCCTTATCTCCCTTTCATCTTTTTGATGACCCATAACCTTTAGATGGAACCACCCTAACTACAAATCAAAAGCTTCTTTACTCCTTACAACCATTTTTCAATCCAAAATGTATTTTCAGTATCTAAAATTAATAAACTTTAATGTTTGTGATAATTGCAATAACTATATTTATATTATATACTTTTATTAATAGGGTTAGGACAAAACGAGTCTGTAGGCTAAAGTTTACAGTGAGATTGTGGACATTTCTAGTGTTGTTGGCTGGTCCAAGATGGATATTCTTCTAACTATGCAGAAAGATTTTATATTTTATACAAATCCTAGTGCCTTTGTAGATTTTCTAAAACTTTATAAAGATTTTGTTCATATTGAAAAAAAAGTTTATAAAATTATGAATTATGTCTTAAGTATTTGGGATTAGCACAACCTGTAAGGACTGGCAATCGCCTTAATGCACTAGGACTTGTCATTTGGATTATGCTAAATTTAGAACTTAAGCTGATTTAAAGTCATTAAACTATTGTAGTTTGTTGTATTGGTATTGTAGTAATTTCTACTTCTTGAGAACAGTATTCATCCTGTCCAATCATTTATCAACTTACCAAAGTACTCACACAAGTCTGCTATTGAATAAGATAAAACAACTTTGATATTCATCTTTTCCATGTTCTTTGTTTTAATTTTAGTAATGGTTTGAAACTGTTTTCACTGTATTTCATTTTGAACTCTTCTGGTGTGGCCTTTTCATACAACTTTAATTTTAAATTTTTCAGTGTTGCCAGTATATATTTGTTGTCTGTTCCCAAAAATCTTCTATATACCAGTCATGACGAGTTATCACGTTTTGTTGGTGTACTTTCCTGCTGAGGTCATAGGTAAGTAGTACTGATCCAAATAGAGCCGAATTAGGAGTAAGCCACTTAGAAGAGAGATGTAGAATTAAGGGATTATCAGATTTAATTGAAAAGGGAAGCAGATCTTAAAGCTAAGCATATCAATTATATGTAATAGTCTATTTCAAATTCTAATAATGAGAGATGAGAATATGGAATCTGGTAATTGTACAAAAGAACAACTTTTTAGAAGTAGCCGAGGATATAAACATAAATATTAACTAGACAGTTCTGCAATTGTAAAGTGATGATTGGATATTACAGACACAGCTTCAATCCTTCTACTCCTTCAACATTGGACATTAGTTTGGTGATTTGGCAACCTGCTATTACAAACCAGCTATTCTGTCATTGAACTTTTGTTTGAAACATGTGCCACTGTCCTTCATTGTATGTGGAAACCTGAAAATTGCTCTGTGTTTGGTCTATCAATGAGACAGACAATTGTGATTGAAGAAGGAAGAGAGTCTTCCATAATGGATCAATTCTATTTTATATGCATTAATAAATCAGGTATTTGTGAAAAATCAAATTAACTAGTAATGGAGAATAGGATACCTATATTATAGTATTAACAGGCTTTCCCAAGAATCTTCCATTGATGTAAATAATGGCTTTGGAAAATAGAAACATCATCTACTTAATTTATTCTGGAGGAACCCCGTGATGTCCTGCGATGGATGTTTTATACAGTGGTAATGTAAATGAGTTACTAGATTCTACATGTTGTATGAGCTAGATGATTGGCAATGCTACTTGGATTATCAATTTTAGTGGATTCATGCCGTGACTCTGGTTTGGATCATTTTTTCCTTAATTCAATATGCCTTAAAAAGAAAATAAACTGTATTACAATGTTGGGTGCTATTTCATTGAACATTTCAAGCGATTTTATGAGATAACTACTGGGAAATCTAACCCTGAACATTTTTTCTCAAATTCTTGAAATGCACAGCCTAAAATATCTGAAATAAACATTGAGGGCACATGCTCTCTTTTGAAGAAGTGCATTAGTAGAGCAGTTTTCCCCTGATTAATTTTCTGTGGTTCCAGCATTCTATCACAATCTTTCAATCTGACTGCCAATATCAGATCAGTTTTCTTGGGTGGATACAATGATTACTCATTACATCATTGAAAAGTATAAATATCTTTTAAAATATATAATTCATTTTTTAAATATTAAATTTTTCTTTCAAGTAGGTGTATTCTTTTGAAAATGGGACGTTCATTCTATGGGAAGTTCATTCCATAATCCATACTCACACAAATAGAAATTCTTTTACAAATAGTCTCAAAAACATGTAATTAAACAAGAAATTAATTAATCAGATGTAGTGGATAAAAAATGGAGCATCTACTTCCAAAACAGCAAGTTTAATAAAAACAAGCTGTACTGTTTGAAAACTGAACTAACAACTGTAGACCTTTTAAGATTTTTAAACTCTTTTAAGGATTGATGTTTTAAGATGTTGTCTTAAGAAAATTGCTTCAATATCTATTGAGAATTTGGATAATGTTGATAAAGAAATTAATCAAGCAGCTGAATCTTTGTGTCAAGGACCAAATCCTAATCCAAGAATTTTCTTGTTAACATATATTTTTGAAAAGTATCCAATGACTGGAATATCTTTTTTACTTAAATGTCAAAACTTTCAATGGCTGATTGATTCACAGAAATTTCCAGATTTAACAAATTCAGATATATTCTTATTGTATAACAACAACAATGACTATAAAAATATTCGCAGTTTGTTTTATTCTAAAAACTCAAATAACCATGAACTCTTAGATACAATATCACTAGAAAAACCACATTTATCTATCCTTGCTCTCCATACAGCAATATCTGCTAGTACATCAAAAATATTTTTGGATCAGGTAAGATTTCATGTTATTGTTATTAATTTTATTTTGTCTCCATACTTTTATCCCCCCATCCTTTTCTAGTATTTAGGAGAATGAATTGAGATCTAAGATGATCTTCTGCAATCAAAAACTATGGAATAGTTTAGTTAATAGAGAATTTCCTAGATTTCTAAATGAAAAGAAAGATAATGAAATTTTTGGCAATCCTCTTTCCAACCTGATTTTTCATGCAGAAGTTGCTTTAATCTACTCTTTAATCTCTTTAAGTTTGAGAATACTACTGCAAACTTTTGTCCAAATGGTCATTTGTATTTAATTGGAGACTGTGGAAGGCCTTGGGAAAATGGGCAGGCAATGTTGAGATTGGTGGTGCTTGGAATAATCATTCTAAAGGAAATCCGAGATTGACTGAAGATGACTTTAAAAGTCAAAGTGGTCATATTATTGGGGAAGCAGCATGGAATGAAAATGTCAAATACCATCGTCTATCTGAATTAAATATAGCAATTTTAAGAGCAATTTTTTATATAATCATGCTAGTTGCTATGAATAAAAATCCAGAGAAAAATGGGAAAAGATCTTTGCTAGTAGATTGATAGAAAATGCTCTTAAAAATTTAGAACATACTCAGCAGATAATACAAGAAGATAGTGGTGCCACATAAAATCCTTTAGGACTTTCTATTATTCAGAGAGATGAACAACAGAATGACAATAATGAACTTTTTCAAAGAAATAGAAAAATGTGGAAAAATATAGAAATTATCACTGTTGATAAGGCTATCAGTATATTGAAAAAAGATGGTGAAGAAACTGCTGATAAAAAGCTGATATTATTGGCTCTAACAGAAGCAAAACAGATTGAATTGATAAAACACCTTCCAAACATTATGAAATTAATTTATAATGTTACTAAGAGTTTATGGGGGAAAATCTCCAGAAAACAACTCAAAGAAAAAACCCTACATTCTTACAAACAAGATGATAAAAGAGTTTATGAAGAGTATATAGAATTGTTTAAGTCATTTGAAAAGGCATGGAAGAGCTGCAGGAACAGTCTAAAGAAAATTAAAGGTAAGCATTGTCAATAATACCTTAGGCTTAAAAAGTTATTTGACACAGTGTCAAAAATTCAAGTTTTTAAAATTTAAAAAAATGATTTCTTCTTTTTTTTCCATTTCAAGATTCTAATGTAAAGAGTTGTTAATATTGACGCTGAAAGGGATGTTGAAATTTTAGTTCTCTCAGCAAGTTCACATGAAATAGAATTAAGATCAAAAAAAGAGACTATAACTTATAATTTTAAGTTTTTAAGACATCAACTATCTTATTTATGGTTGAATAATCATCCTGAACTAAGATTTAACAATATTCCATACATTGTTTGCAACAATGATGTTTTAATGAAAACTAAATTGAAAAAATTGAACATTAAGCAAGTTACATTGGATAAAGATATTGCAGATCAATTATCTCAAGAATGTCTGCTTATAGATGAAGTTTATAATAGTTGGTCAACTCTAAATACTGCTATTGACTATTTATCAACTTTGTCAGATGTTTCCTCAAACAAAAAGTTAAATAAATTTCTTAAAGAATTGAGCCTGAAAACTGACTGCTTCCCAAAAGCTGTAAAAGAATGTTGTAATGTTGAGCATGTTGAAGATCTTTGGAGTATTTTGGATAGAGAACACAATAAATTATTAATTGATCATCAACTATTTATAGTTCCTGATGATGCTCAACTGTGTCAAAAGTGTAAAGAAGCAATTAAGAAAAGTGTTGAACAAAAGGCAAAAGTAGCTAATGAAATCCTCATTCACTGATTATTTATGAATATAGTGATGATCCAGATAATATGAAATATCCGTAAGTGTTTGTGATTTTTGATTATAACATTACTAAATTTCTCTTTCTCCTTTTTGCAGCCTAGAGCAGATATTTGACATTTATCTTACTGATTTAAATCTACCACTATTTGAACCAATAGAACAATGGCCAAAGGAAATTATAATGGAAAATGGAATTGAAGTTTGGAAAATTATATATGACACTATGAAGGAAACTTTACCTAATGATGATTGATAACTAATCACCTGAACTAATCTGCTTTTATTTTCACTATATAATCTTTGTGTTTTTAATTGGATTAAAGAAATCCTTTTTTAAGATTTTTAAAATCTTTTATAGTATCTCTATTATCACTCACTTTATTTTTTCTTAATTTTAAACTTCTTAAATAGATAACTCTATAAATAAGACCATAAATTGAATATAGTAAAATAGCTGCTCCAATATATACAATACAAATAAGATATTTATAAATGTCATCCATTATTCCAGATTGGGAGAAGCAAGTTTTAAAAATATGACCAGTATTGTGCCTTTCATCAATTTTAATTCCATGTGATAAACTATTTATTAGACCAGCAATGGATGCAAATAAACCAATTAATAAAAACATTATTTTAATATGTTGTCTATTAAGTTTTTTAAGTGGTTTACAAACACCAAACCATCTTTCAATAGCAACAAACATAAATGTAAATGATGATGAAACTAAAAGAAAATGATAGATGAATGAAAATATTTTACAAAGTAGAACATTTTTTATAAAACCCAGTTCCAAAATTATTGAATATGGACCACAAATTCCACAAATTAAAATATCAATAATTGCCATACTCTTTATAAATATATTATCAGGATTGAATGATGATGATACTTTCTTTTCTTTAGAATCATAAAAAAATAGGATTAGAATATTTAAAGGTATTCCAATTAGTATAACAATTGATATATAAATTAAAAATGGTGAAAAAAATTTCAAATCTATTTCATCAATTGTTAAAAGAAATGTAGTATTGTTAAGTTTCTTCTCCATCCTATCTTTATCACACCAAAGAAAGCAGTGAAAATAGCTCAAGATTTATCTCAAATTTCAGATGCAACTTACAATTCCTTTTCACATTCTCAATATCTTTTACTTAACTATTATCCATATTTCTTTTTTAATACAAAATACAATATCAGAATTAATCTTGAGTTATTGATAACTTAAAGTAATGGAGGAGAAGAGGAAACTATTCAGGAATATATATATATAACACAATCATTAAGTAATTTATTTCCCAATACTTTTTTTTCTGTTTCTTTTTTGTATCAATTCTATAACCATGGTAACTTTACAAGCAAAGTCTGCTTTATTCAAAATTATTAAGAAACTTTTGTCAGAATGTAAAATGATATTAATGAAATAATACTGTGGATGATCAAAATGTTTCTTTTTTTACATTCAAATAGAAATCTCTGTGACAAAGTGACTAAAGACATAATCTTGCTTTTGATCTTGTTTTTCTAGAATGCAGCTATGTGCAATACACATGAAATTTAGAAATCTTTAATATTTAAATAATGAATAACTTTGAAATCTATTTAAAGAAATATTTTGTCTTTTGAGTAGAGTTTGCATTGTTTTTATACATTGTACATTATATCATAAGCATATTGATCCATTATATTTTGCCCTTGACCTTCAATAACCTTCAATTAGAAATACTGTAGAACATTTACACATAGGCTGTTGAGTAACCTTCTAGTCCTGAAATATATAGGCTTAGATAATAAACACTGTAGTCTTAAAGCTTTTTAAATAATTTTTAGATCTCAAACAGATATTACAGTCAATTTCAGATTTAGTAAGGCAGGCTTTGACCTTCCAATGATACATTTGCACCCACAACCTGATTAGAACTGAGTCCTTTCAACTCATCTGAAGAAGGAGAAACACCTCTAAAGTACTATAAAATTTCATTTGGGTAGAGTAACTTGTTTGACTAATTATATCATTCTTGATAATGGATAACTAATAAGCTGGACAGATGATATGCAAAAGATGAGTTTTAAATCAAAACAATTTGAATATTACATTTCCACTTTTTCTTCCTATATTAACACGCTTTGATCCAACACTCTAATCAGATTAAAGTTCTGAGTGAATTATATATTTTTTTTTCCAATATCACCAATATGTCCATCCATTTCAAGTAGAATTTTTTTGTCTTATTGTCTGACAATTTCCAATAGTTTTTTTAAGAGAACTTCTTTTTAAAGTTAAATCTTGGGGATATTGTATATATATATCTAAGCAATATTCATATACTAAAATTTTCAAAATCTGATTTTTTCTCTCTGTTTAAAGCCAGTAATTTGTTATATTTCTATTGCAGTAAAAGTCCCTAAAGTACTACAGTATTGTACAACTTTCCTTATTTTTATGCTCATACTCTCCTACTATATACCACTTATTCAAAAACCTACAACCAGAAATACAATCATCCTTTGGTCAAACTCAGACCTTGCCTGGTCATACTTAAGGTTCAGTTTTAAATTATTTAGTTTTTTTTTTCATTTTAAAAAAAAAGTCACTTTTAATTGAAAACACTTTTTTTTGAGTAGGTGTGTGTTCACACTCTGATACATTCGCATCTAACCCCTTCTTTTTCACTTGATTAACAAGGACCATTTTTCAAGACAAAATTATCAAAAACCACTTTTTCATCATTCAAAGAAGTGAAATTAAATGTTAGTTTAATTTGAGTAGCAAGTTTCAAAATTTTCGTCTCTGAACAGTCTTTGATTGTTGAATGACAACAGTTTGAAAAAGTGAAAAAAATATTACATTTCTTTTATTGTATAAAAAAAAGTGATTTTTGCCTTTCTTGCCAAATATGTCCAATTTCAGATTGAACTTGAATGGGTACAAAGTTTGGAACTGTTCCATTCTTTAAAAACTATGATTCAAATTGAAAACATGCTGCAATGAGTGTTTTATTGATTTTAGGCGAAAGGAGTTTAATATTAACAAATTTTATCTGTGGACTTGACAAGTGTTTTCTCAAAATTAAAGCTGAATCTTTAGATAAAAACAAAAAATAAACAAAAAAAATTATCTTTTGAAAGAAATTTAGATACTTTTTCCAGAATAAAGATTGTTCATTTCATCTCTATAAAGTACGAATGCTGATGAATGTCCTTCTTTTATTTTATCACCACAAAGTCCATTCTCAAAATTACAATTTATATCTTGTTCTGAATGAATTAAAAAAAAAATTTAAAAATGACAATATATATTTCATGTGATATATCATATACCATTTATTATTGATATAGTTGGATTTTTGCATTTATCTTTCTTAATTTCAATATAATATAAATAAATAGCATTTTGTGTAGGTTTGAAATAGACAGCTTGAAAATAAATCTAAGAAATGTAGAAAACAATGAAAACACAATAATATTTAAAAATGAATTCTAACATTATTATATCCTTTGATGTCAAATGATTCTCTTAAACGTGTATTGGTAACTTTTTGTTTAAAATCAATAATATTTCTGTCTTCATGAATCTGAGTTATTTTAAATATACATTTTTTATTTTGAACAATTCAGAGGAAAGAAATAATGAAAAAAAAATATCTTACTAGCAGACAAAGATCATCATAAGATTCAGTTTTTCCACTTATCATATATTCAAAAGAGACACAAATATCTTCAGGATGTTCTACAAATACTTTGAAATATGTTGTAACCCTATACTTCAAGCTGGATTTGAAAAATGTACCTTTACAAAAAAAAAATGATTAAATGTATATTAATAAAAAAGATATACTATCAATTAAAAAATTTTGAACAAACAGGAAGGAAAAGGCAATCTACGCCAAGTACAACTGTGAGAACTAAACCAATAACAATCTTCTTTGTAAAATAAACAATATGGATATTTATTTAAATCTGAAAAAAATTTTAAAATGAAAATGAAAATATTTTAAAAAAAGAAAAAAAAATTATATATAAAAAGTAAAACTATTGCCATTGTTCAAATCTATCAATTCTGGTTTGGAATTGGTTACTTCAAAGTCATCAAAATAGAGTTTGCTGAATTTATGTTTGCCATTTAATTTGAAAATAAACTGGTAAAAAAAATATTTTTTTTTTGGTAATAAGTGCTAAAGAGTTATTAGTTGACTTTTTTTACATTCTTTAAATCTGGTTCTAATTCAAAATATTGACATTGTTGACAACTTGTTGAACTTTGAAATAGAGAACTGGAATAGATTAATAATAATTTTAGTAATAAAAAAAAACACCAAGAGAAAAGAATGAAAAACCTTTGTCCTATTCTGTTACCATTGAAATTCTTTGTAACAGTTAGTTGTTGTTCAAAATCTGATGGCTTAGATTTATAAAAACTGAATACAAAATATTTGAAGTTATCAATAATATCTTTAGTGAAAGTTAGTGTTGTAATTGTGACATCATCATTATTGGTTTTGTAATTAAATACTTGTAGAAATCCAGCTAACATTTACAATATTTTCAGATAAACTGAGATTATAGTACTTGAAAACTATCTTTAAGAATGAACAGCGATGATTAATGATTAAAAAATTGAATTGATTGTTTTCAATAAAAACCTTGAATGGTTCTTCCGGAAGATTGTCAATAATGTTGCTTCTTTTGTAAAAATAAAAAAAACCTTCCCATATGTAATTAAAAGAGATAATAAAGTAATGATTCCCATTGTCAAGCTTGAAATATACCTGAAAAAATTTTTGATTAAAATTGAGATTCAGGAAGAGAATATTTGTCAAACTGAGAGAGAACTTTCCCCAGCCTCCTTAGAACTTCCATGTTGAATCCTTAAACATTTATTACCAATGTTCCTCAATAGTTTAGATTCAATTAATGCAATATTTCCAATTTGTTCATTTGTCTTTGATAAACTTTTTTTCTAGACCATTGATAGCTTGATCCTTCAATATCAATAGTCCTATAGAAACAATATCCACTTTGAAAATAACATTTGTATCCATCCTAATAAAACCATTTTTAAATATGTAAAGACATTTTGTACCAATGCTACTGCTTTTCAGATTTTCATCAACATTCTTATCTAATTTGTTGGGTAAATAATTAATAATTAGTTATATGATATTTTTTTCTAAGATTAATAGATTACCTGGTTTTGATTTATTTATTATAAATTTAAATAGAACAGCAACACCAGCTCCAATAACAGCCAAAACTATAAATGTAATAAGAAATATTACAAAAAACCTACACTTGGAATATTTCTTTTTTTCTTCAGTTTTTGGTGTGTTTTCCTCTTCTCTCACTTCTTCATTATTTTCCTTTTCCTGAAAATATAATAAAAATTGAACAATTAAAGTATTTTTCTATCAATTATCAATTTCTGACTTGATTCAGTGAAGACATTGTCCAAAATGATTAAATGCACACCACTCAGACAAGTTATTTTAGTAGAAAAAAATTCCCCATATTTTTCTACTTTCCTTTAGTAAGAACGACTAATTTACTCCTACTTTTTAGTATTCATTAGCTTTTTGGTATAGCTGCTCTTTAGAAAACTGTACAGACTTTACTCAATACAATTTATTATGAATGCTTAACCACCTAAATTTATTTAACCAGGGTCAGGTGCAAATGTACCTGTTAGCAAATATTTCCAACCCTGAAAATATTTTAGGAAAGGGTAAGTTTGAAAATTTGATTAGATTTATTGTTAGAGGGGCTCCAATTTAGGGTTAGGGAATATAAATAACACAGATATAACACTCAACCTTAGATATATTAAGGTAGGCTTCGACCCTCCCATTGTACATTCGCACCCCCACCCATATAAACAATATGAATTTAAAATTTGTTAGCTTAGTTTTTCCTCCTATAACCAAGCTTAACCAAATTATAAATTCATTTGATTATTACAAATTTTAAAAATTAATAAACCTGAAGCTGACTGCTGAGGATTATTATGTTCAGTAATGAAATAGAAATTATGTTGGAGAGAAAACTTTCATCTCAATTTTGTAGTGCAAAGATAAAGTTAAAATTATCTTGACATTAATTAACTATGTTTGCTTCTATTATGATATCATTAATTATGAAACTATGCTGATTGTTTGGTTTACAATTTTAGCTCATCTATCAAGTATTCCTGATATTTGACAAGAATGACTTTGCCAGTTTACAAACTGATATATTATAAACACAGCAAATTACAAAGCAATTTATAAATAACAGATGAGGGGATAAAAGGTTTATAAATCTATAGAACACTATACTTAATCATTTACTGCAAGGCTGCTTCTAATAACATAAAGATGGATTATGTTGAAAATTTTATTCTATTTATTTCCTGTTCAAGTCAATTTGCTGGACTTTGTCTAAATTGTAATTTAATATTAATTCGTACAATCAATAAAGATTTATGGAAATTACAAAATTTTGGTGTGACAGCTCTGATTTTTACTGATATTCTTTATTCAATTAGCCTATTATTCTTTTATCTTTTAAAGAAAACAGAAATGACTTTTTACAGTTGTATCATTTTAATTCAAACTGCTTTCATGATCATTGCTATATCATCTTTTACACTGACATTTATCATGTTGGAAAACTTTTTGGCTATTAAAAGACCATTAACTTTTCACAAAATATGGACATTACAGAGAGCATTTATCCTTCTTTTTCTCATATGGTTTATCAGTTTTATCATTGGCTCAATTCCAGTTTTCACTTGGAATAAATATGATATTATTAAGGAACAAAATACAACACTTTTCTGCGAATCTACAAATGTTGTTTCTTTTGGATATCTCTATTTTTGGTCATTTAGTACTGTAATACCGAATGCTATTACCAGTTTACTATTATACTTTCCAATTCTTAGAGCTATAAGAAAACACAGAAGAGCAATTTCTGATTTATCAAATGTTGACAGTTCAAAATCTGAAGGAAGTAGTATTAAGGTCTTAACCATTTTATTAATATACAATACCATCATATTGGTTGTACCATCCATAATTACACTTACAACTTATCATAAGAGGAAAGAAATATTTTCTTTATCAGATGAAGAATTTAGATTACTCTTTAATTTGTTTTTGACAGTTAGTGTCTCAAATTCAACAATAAATCCCCTTGTTCATAGCTATACTAAATATTCAATTAGGCTTCAAACCAAAAAATTCTACAGAAACCTCTTTGAAAAGATTACTTGCAAATAGTCAGAGGATAAATTTATGGAAATTTTTACCCAACAAGCCGGATGGAGAACTGAACCATTAACTGTTAATTTCATTGGATTTATACAGTATATATCTTTTAAGGATTCATGTCAATGTTCAAATGTCTATAAATATATCAACGATTCAGCAAAAATGTCAGATTTTAAAGAGATGGACAGTAGAGGAGATGGTGTGCTACGAATATCATGATATGGCAAATAGTAACAATATCAAGGACAAATTCATAAGCTTTGTCCAAACATTAGATTTTATCTATGGCGATTCATCCTGGCATGGATGTAATAAGGTACAGCAAATCCTGAACAAAACGGGTCCATTCCAACCCCAGACAATTGCTGTTTGAACCGAGTTCAAGACACTTCTTAAATTCCTAAAGCTACCTAATTACAAAGGACATCCATAGTTCGAAAAACTTAACCAATTCTCTAAAAGATTACCACCTGATGCCCAAATTCCTTTATTCCTTTTCGTGAAATGAGCCTTTTGAATTTACTCAGCTATTTATTCCATTGTCCCAACCCCCAAGACTCTTATTTATTTTAATTAACAGACGAAACATGTGTCAATTTTTAGGTTTCCACATTTTGAATTATATATCCATGTATTTTCAAAATATAACAACAAATCAGCAAAGTTTGGTTGTTCCAAAAGTTCATATCCTAATGACATAATTTTTCCAAGATCTCTTCATTTTTTTTTTCTCCATATATTGTTTCTCAGTATATATACTGTCAACTAGAATAGCAAAAACTCTTTCCCAAAATGTTTTCAGGGTTGGAATTACTAAACATATCTTGGTAAATTATCCAAACAAAGAATAAAAAAAAAATAACTTGGCTCAAAGCCAAGTTCAATCACCTAGAGTTTCACAAAAACTAGAAAAATTCTATATGAAAGAATTTTTATTCATTGTTCAACTGGCCATATTTTATTGATTTTATATTTCTTGAATTAAGAGAGAAAGAAAAACAAAGTTATGAAAACAAAAAAAATTAGATAATAAATCTTTGGGAATGCTTATTAATGTTAATTTTTATTCAAATGATCAAAGTCAATTATTGAAAGACAAAGAAATATTATTTTAAATGTTATATAAAATATAAAAAAGTTGAAATTGAATAAAAACAATAGTTATTATAAATGGTTGAAATGAATTTGAATTATTGCAGTAGCTTCCTTTACAAACACAATGATTCGTAATAACATTTTGTACATAGTTATAAGTGTGTCTATCACTAAAACATGTTGGAAATTCAAAAACGGTATCCGTGCAGCCTCTATATACATGTTTTAAACTTCCAGTCCAATCAAGTACCTTTTTATAACAAGAGTTACTCTCACATATATCAAGTGAAGTATCATTAAAAAACTCATCAGCGCAATGATCGTTTGTAATGGAATTGCATTTGTAACAATACTTATAGTAGGCTGTTGAATTAGCTTTCAAATTTCTGGAGTTAACTCTTTCTTTCTTTATTCTCCAATGAAGTGTTACAGTAACTTTTAAGAGAGAAGAGAATTCAGAATATTCTTTTGTCTTAAATTGACCAATAGATGTATTGTTTATTGTAGAATCAATTGTATTCTTTATACAAATTACACTATCAAATTTTAAATTTTTATCTTTCTCCATTTTCTGTAATTTGACAATGGCATTCTCTTCACAAATATATTCTAATTGTTGATTTGCTTTGTCAGTAGTTACAGACACTTTCAATTTACTTAAACCATTAGTCAAAAATAGAAGACAGTGATTACCTTCTGATAAAAAATTCAATTGATCAAGATTCATTTCTTTTGAATTTGTTACAATGATATTTGTAAATGTACAACTCAACAGAGAATGATGAATGGTTAAGAAACCAAGTAATACTTGGAAGAGAGATATCTTCATATTCTGAAATGATCTTACTACAGAATGACATTGAATCAATTTTTCTTATGACACAAATCTGTAGGACAAGAGTCTTGCTCAAAGAGGAGAATTAAAACGCAATAGAACATGTGCATTAACCTTTCATTATCCAGGGCAACATGTCCAAACATGTTCTTTTGCATTACATTAAAAGGTTAGCATAACCTGGCTGGTTTAAAGTTAGAAGAAAAGAACAAAATTTTTCATTTTCATTTTGATAAGATGAATACTAATACATTTTGGCAATTACTATCATTTTTAATAATCAACATTCATCAAACAAATTCGCAGTGTGTAATAACCAATTATGTTGTTTCCCATGTGGATTCAATCAACCTTCATAAAGATGTTTTAATGATGCTTGAAGGAAATTTACACTGTTTAAGATTTATATCAACTGAAGGAAAAGAATTAGCAGTTTCTGTTCAAGTGGAAAAATTGAATGAAGAGTTAGAAACAAAGTCAACTTATTGCCATCGAAATAGTGAAGTTACTGTTGAAAAAACTGCTTTTAATGATTTAATGTTACAGAATATGGCTTGTTCCATAGATTTGAATTATAATGTGACAAATAGAAAACTCCATATCATTAAGGTTGCTAGAAATATTTTAAAAGTTATCAAAATAGCAGTGTCTTTGGGTGGTTTGAACAGAGGTAGTTTACCTGGTAGTAGGGAAAAATGTCGAACGGTAACTTCAAATTTGGATCCGAATGCCCAACTATGTTATCAATGTAATTCATTGGTGAGTAGAAACTGTCTTGATGAATTTAAAGGACCAGTATATGGTGTGGAATTTTGTGTTGGTGTTGCATGTTTTAAAAAGAAAATTAAAGTTGACAATGGAGTCTATGAGATTCACAGAGGTTGCAAAAAAACGTGGTGTAACGATGAAGATCACTGTTCTGAAGCATCATTTAGATCCATCTTTTATGACAATTTTGTGACAAATTACTGCATTTGTTCAGGTTCTAAATGTAATCATTCTAATAAGAATAGTTTCTCTGTGCTTATCATCATTGTTTCTTCATTAATAATTTTACTATACAATATACAGTACTCTACTATTGAAATTTAAATATTCAATATCAGTAATTTTGCAGTTTTTTGTGTTATTACATCTAATTATAAATGCAAATTTATCAATTTATTTCTGTTCTAGTATTGACTGCATATTAAGATCATTGATCATGCTTTCTTTTCTTTTGAGATTAACACATTTACTCATTGATTTTGAATAAATCCAACAAAGGAACTGTCTCTAGTTTTGTTAAGTGTTTATTTGAGAAACTACTAGAAACTTTTGTAATGAAAACTGTTTAAAATCTTAATGAACTATTAAAATGAAAGTAGGAAATCCATTTAGATTATATATAGATATTTATAATATAATAACCACAGAGATTAGGGTTACAGGTAAATCCATACCCATTAGGGGTGAATGTCTTACGATGACCAAGGAAAACGGTTGTTGTTGATATTTATAGAAATAAAAAAATATGATAATATATTTATTGAAGAGCTATTATACTATATGCTAACTCAAGAAAAGAATAGATTCATCAGCTAATATCCTTCCAAGCCTATAATCATCCCAAATTTCAAATAGTTTCTGTACTTTATTACTCAGTCTATTGTACCATCCTTTCACACTATTATTAGTCCCTATTAATAATCCAAAGACTGACCAGTTCAATGGTTTCCAAGTAGAATTCAAAATCCAAGTATTTTCAAAATATTCCAGCAAGTCTGAAAATGTTCTCAGGATTAGCGTTAAGATTGCATAGGGGTCCCCAAAAAAATTTTGGGTTTATCACTTATGGACTTATACAGTTTTGGCTATTGATTATAAATCTGCAAAAATCGACCTCAAAATGTTTTTACTTTGGCTGTTGTTTTTTAAAAACGTTTAAAAAAACTACAATTATTCTATAGAGATAAAAAAACAAACTTCCAATGCGTTTTTAAAGTTGATATTTAATATGAACATGTAACTTAGGCCTATTCAACTTTTTGTCTAAAGATATACCTAATAGTGTTTTTAGTTTACCTATTGTTTTTTTATAACTTTTAAAAAATTTATACATGCAAGGTCATAATTTGGGTCAAGAATTTTTATTGATGCATGATGTTTGTTTTTGTGAGATGCAAGCTCATACAAAATTTGAGTACAATTGGAGTAGTATTAACAAAGTTACAGTTCGCGAAAGTTCGATAAAATGTCTGGAGTCTTTTTTTTAATGTTATGTATTGTTTGCAAGTGTGAATTTTAACTTGGGAAAAGTTCTTATTACGTTTTCAATAAAGGTATTGATTCATTTTGACTCTTGAATATTTTTGATAGTAGCCACCTGGTGGATGGTATTGATATTAGACACCTTGTGGATTGCTTTGATATTAACCCTGGATAATATTTGAGAATTTTAGAGAATATTGAAGAATATTTGATAATAATGTTATAATTTGAAAGTTGATTGATGGACAATTTTTGTGCACTTAGAAATAATAACATGACAATATTTAGACTTTGACCAAGTGAACCCAGGCTTTTTGAAATGTATAAAAGGAATTACATTTCACCATTTTGGTAGTTCAGTTCCGTAACCATCAGCTGGTTGTTTAAACTTGCTTATTTAGAAGTAGAAACTCATTTACTCAATACATATTCTTTAAATGAAATACTGGTATTTTGTTAATTAATTTCCACCAAAATTACATTTGTTAAGACTACTTGTGGACGAACTTGGAAGGTTCTATTTGGACCAGTACTTTGGTGAGTTGATAAATGATTGGAAAGAAAAGAATTTATTCATTTTTTAATATAAGAAAAAGTAGTGTAAAGACAAAAATTATCCCAACTTCCACAAAAGTAATTTACTCAACAAAATTTTTAGAATGTAAAGAAATTACTGATGCAGTGACATTTTGGCCCATTTTGGGATTTTTCATATTTTAGTCCATTTTAAGAAAATTTTTCTTTAAGATTTTTGAATTTAAAATATTTCAGTTGTCGAGTAAATTTGAAGAAAGAGAATTGAGTTTGGCCCTGGAATTAGTATATCATCATCAATTTCAAAAACCATGTATTCAAAGTCAATACTACTGCTAATTTGTCAAATATAAAACATTGATCAATACTACTTCCGATAAATAGAACAATATTGGTTGATCAATAAATGAAAGAAATTTGAAGAGGAGAGACATCGCATTAAAAAATTGGAATATTTTTTCGCAAGAGTGACTCAGTATTGACATTGAAGCAATTGGAAAAACTATCTACCTCAGCAAAATTAGCCTGCTGATATATATATATATATATATATATATATCTGTATTGGTAATTCTTTAGATTGATTATGTAAGTGACAAATACTGTCTTAATCTAAAAAGAACAGAGAATAGAAGCCATTTTGAGTTTAAAAATCAGCTCTCTTCACACTGTAACCAGAAATTAAAAAGAAATGTGATGAATATTTTCCAAAGGTATGATTTTCATGTGAAAAGATATTTGTGAACAATGAAAAATCCTCTTTTAAAATATCATGCAAAACAGATTAAAGCTGTTCTAGAAAATGATAAATTATTTAATAAAAAATTACATGAGTTAAAAATTAATTTAAATTGCTTTGATGATAGCAGCAAACTGTTGAAAATTTTAGAAAGTATTCAATTCTTTGATAAGAAATATACTGAAATTGAAAATTTGATTAAAAATACATGGAAAAATGTAATTATTGAAAGAAAATATTCTTTTCAAATGGAATTTGAATTCTATCCTAAATTTTCATTGAACAATCAAAATTCTTCTAATATTAAATTTGATGATATATCGACACCAACTCAACTTTTATTGAGAAATTGTAATAAAAATCAAGAAAATTTTGGCTTATTTTTCAAAGTTGAACAATTTTTAAATTATTTAAAATTTTTAAAAAATGATGACAAATTATTAATTTATGGCGTTGGAGGTATTGGCAAAACGTTCTTTTCAATGAAAATTCTCTACTTCTGGTCAGAGAATATGGGAGAATCATTTCTACAGGATAGATTAATTTTATACATCAAATTTAATGAAATATTTAAAGATGAAAATAGAAATTATTCATTTGAGGAAATTTTATTTAAATATAATTTCAGTAATAATTCAACAATCACATTTGAAATATTTACACATTTTCTAATTGAATGCAGTGAAAAAATCATTTTAATTCTTGATGAAATTGATGATGATAATTTGATGATAAATGAAAAGTACAAATTTCTTAATTATCACTGTCCAATGATTATCTTATCAAGAAGAGGACCAGGAGGAGGAGGAGGAGGAGGAGGAGGAGGAGGAGAAAGACTATTTCAAGTAAATTCCTCAAACAATTGTTATTATTCCATTTTTGAATTAAAAGGTTTTGATGATCGTCAGATATATAGATATTTCCAAAAATGCTTAAAAGATTCAAATTTTGGAAATGATTTGCTATTTCAAATTTCAATAGAAAAAACTGAGGCAGAGTTGAACCAACTTTTAACTACCTTAAATAGTAACAGTAACAGACAATATCTTTACAAACTTTGTAAAAATCCATTCATGGCATATTTAATATTATTTATTTGGACAGAGCAAAAATATTTCAATATGTTGCGCAATGAATATGAAATATTTGACTATATTCTAACATTATGCTTACGAAAGGGAAGAGCGATAAATGGGGAAGAAAAGATTTATTATCTTAGTTTATTTGCTTTTTATGATCTATTCAAAATTGGATTAACATGGACAGAGAAAAATTCTATAAATAAAGCTATAAAAGAATACTCATATTTTAGATGGTTTTTCAATCCTTTAACAAGGAAGAGTGGAGTAAATTTTGAATTTGTTCATAGACTATTTAAAGAATACTTTGCAGCCAAATTCATTATCAATTCCTACCAGAATAATCTACACAATAATATTCAATTAATAGAATCAATAATTAGAAATTTAAATAATTTATTTATTGTAAAACAGATTTTCTCATTTGTCCTTGACATTGACTATAATATCTTTACAAAATTAATAACTATTACAGGATTGAATAATATTCTATCTCTTCTGGATATAAATGAAAGACTTTGTACATATATTGAAAAAAAATCAATTATCAATACAATTGAATTATCTGATTTTAGATTACCAATTGGTATTTGGAGATTAATCCTTCATGACCTTAATAAAGAGGTCAAAAAAGTTCAAATAAATGACACAGATGTAGATTTAAACAACTTCATTCATATTGGACAAGACTTTTTAAAGAATTCCCTTTCTATTATGGAACTTTCTTATAACAATGTAATGAGTTCTATCATTACTCTGCAAACGATAGAAAGTATTATGAAAAATTTTAAGAATTTAAAAGTTTTTAAATTGAAAAATATTCAATTTGAAAATTCAAATAACACAACTCCATTACATATACAATCAAATAGTTTGAAAGAATTATATATTGAAAATTGTGGATTGGCAGAAGCGATTGAAATCAATTGTCCAAATTTAAAAATATGTAAACTGGTAAAAGTTTGTAGAAAATTAAATTTGAAACAATTTTTTAAAGACAATTTCAAATTACAAAAATTAAATATATCTGGAATTTCATTATTAAATGATCTGGGAAAGAATTTCTTTGAAATATTAAATAATTTGACAATATCATTATCATCTCTCAAATGTAATGATTGTGAAATGATTACAAAATCAAATGATTTACTTAATTTTCTTAAAAATCACAATCATTTAAATACTTTAGAAATGGATGGTAATCAAGTTGATTTGATTGATAAATTTGTTGATACTTTGGATTTTTTTACATCTATTTTTTCAGCACATTGTCTAAAAGTATTAAAATTACCAATTATTAAATGCCCAAATAATCAAATAACAATGAAGACAGCAACAAAGATTGATGATTTCTTGATGATAAAACTGGATTTGATATATCTAGATTTTGGTGGAAATTCTCTAGATAATATCTTGATATATAATTTTATTAAAAAGCTAACTTCTTTCTCAATTAGTTTAAAAATCCTTGCTACAAATTGCTACAATTCAACTTTTAATGACTTATTGAATGATATTAATTTCTCTAATTATTCTAATTTTAAATATTTGAAAATTGTACATTCAAATTCAAATTTAAATTTGAAAGAGTTTAATGAACTTTTCACTTGTCCAAATAAGATCCTATCTCTAAATGTTATAAGAAAAATTCATCTAAAAAATTGTCAACTATCTGATGATTTTTTAACAACATTGACAAATATTTGGACTGAACTAACTTCAATAAAAACTTTGGATATAAGTTATAATGAATTTACAAAGGATACTAGTTTAAATTTTTTAAAGATGATTAAACATGAAAAATTTCAACAATTTAATAATTTGTATATGCATCATTGTAATTGGAAAAATACAGATATATCTGAATATTTGAATTCAATTATGGAATTAAAATTTTTAAGAATTTTCAATTCAAATTCAAATGCTGCTAAACTGGTATCAGATGCTGTTGTTGATGTCAATTCAGAGTGTTTTAATTTATCAAAAATGAAAGAATTATTGGAAATTATTAAATGTATCTCTGATCTAAAAATTTTTGATATTCAAATGTTTACAAATTATGAGAGAAAAATCATTCAATATTTATTAAATTTTACAAAAATACATCTAAATAAATTTTTCATTCAAACATATAATTTTTTTGGAGAGAATTCTGAATTTAATTACTTTAAAATGCTGACTCAACAATTAATTTTTAACAAGGAAAATATTCAGGAATTGAATCTAAGAAATAGTTTAGTTGGAGATTTTTATGGTAAAATATTATTGGAATGTATTAAAGAGAATTGTAACAGGATATCAAAATTGAATTTAGAAAATTGTGGATTTACATCTGAAATTGGAAATATTATTGGAGAAGTAATTGGTCAACAAAAAAATCATTTAAAAGAAATAAACTTAAAAAGTAATATTTTAAAATCAACTATTGGACAATGTATATTTGAGAATATTCAACAAAATTGTTGCCATATTATGATTTTGAATGTTGCAAATTGTAGATTTACATCAAAAATTGGTACTGTTTTTGGTGATGCAATTGGAAAACAAAAAGAATTAAGAGAGTTGTATATATGTAATAATTGTCTAGATGATTGTATTGGAAAAAATCTTTTTTTCAATATCAAAGAGAATTGTAATAATATTTCTCATCTTGATTTCGAATCTTGTGAATTCACATCAAAAATTGGAAATATATTAGGTAATGCTATTGGTAAACAAAAGAATTTAGTCTTTATCAATGGATCCGAAAATGAACTTGGAGATTATGTTGGAAAAAATATTTTTTATAATATAAAGGAAAATTGTAGTCTTCTACTCACCATTAATTTTTGGAATTGTGGATTTACACCGGAAATTGGAAATATTCTAGGAGATGCAATCAGTCAACAAACTAATATTCAACATCTTTTACTTTACAACAATGAATTTGGAGATGATGTTGGAAAAAATATATTTTTGAACATAAGAGAAAAGTGTTCAAATATATTAACACTTGGTTTTGATGCGTGTGGATTCACATCTGAAATTGGAGAGATTCTACGGGATGCAATTTATCAACAAAAACATCTTCAAAATCTAGTCATCAATGATAATCAATTAGGCAATATTGTAATTAACAATTTATTAAAGGTTGTTGCGGAAAACTGTAAAAATATTTCAGCGATCGACATTGGAGATTGTGCACCAACTACAACAACTTCACAGAGCGTTATAGACGTTATTAATAATGATAATTGCCTAGAAGAACTCAGTATTAAAAATGCCATTTATGAGTTTGATTGTGCAAAAGATATATTCTTAAATATTGGAAATAGTGGTAAGAATTTTTATAGCCTATGCTTTGGAAATTGTTATTTTCATCCAGGATTAACAGCTATACTTACTGATGGTATCATTAAACAAGATAGATTAAGAGAACTATATCTATGGGAAATTAGATTGGGCAATGAAGGCTGGAAATATGTTTTATTAAATTTGAAAAATAACTGCCCCAACATATCCACCTTGGATTTATCTAATAGTGGAATTACTTCAGATATTGGAAATGTTTTGGGTTATGTAATTAAAAAAAAGAAATTTTTGAAACAATTATATCTTTGGGATAATTATATTGAAGATGATGTTGGAGAACATTTATTTCATTGTATAAAAGAGACTCATCATACTATAACACTTTTAAATATTGATAATTGTGGACTTACTTCAAATATTGGTAATATTTTGGGTGATGCTATTGGTCAACAGCATTGTCTTAAAGAATTATTGTTAGGTAATAATCAGCTTGAAGATACAGTTGGGAAAAATATCTTTGAAAATATTTGGAAAAATTGTAGAAAACTTACAAATATTGATTGTATAAATTGTGGATTTACTTCAAAAATTGGAGATAGTATTGGTAATGCAATTGGTTGTCAGAAAAATCTTAATGAATTGCATTTAGCTAATAATTTATTTGGAGATAAAGTTGGCAGAAATATATTTCACAATATCAAGAATAATTGTGAAATTATTAAACTTTTAAGAGTTTTCAACTGTGGATTTACTCACCAAATTGGTAGTATTATTGGTGATGCAATAGGCAAACAAACAAGCCTACAATTTCTTGATATATCTGAAAATTATTTAGGAGATTTTGTTGGAAAATCAATATTTACAAATATTCGATGGAATTGTTCCAAAATTTCAAAATTTGGTTTGGGTAAATGTGGATTTACGGCAGATATTCATAATTCTCTTGCTACTGCAATTGGCCAACAATCTAACCTTAAAAGTTTACTTTTATGGCATAATGAAATTGGAGATTTTATTGGGAAATATATTTTTCAAATGATAGAAAAAAATTGTCAAAAAATTTCTGACCTTAAACTAGATAACTGTAGATTTTCTTTTCAAATCGGCAGTATCATTTCTAATGCAATTGGTCAACAAAATGAACTTGAAACTTTGTCGCTTTGTAACAACGATTTTAGAGATGATTTTGGTAAAAATCTTTTTAAAAAAATTTATGAAAATTGTCAAAAAATCACATGTTTAACTGTTGGAAATTGTCAGTTTACTTCTAAAATTGGAAAGATTTTATCAAAAGCAATTTATCAACAGAAAAATTTAGAAATATTAGATATAAGTAACAATAAATTACAAGACAGTGCTGGAAGAGAATTATTGAAAAGTCTTGAGGATAGCTGTACAAACCTTACTAAATTAGATATAAGTAATTGTGGATTTACTTCAGCAATTGGATTGATATTAGGTGATGCAATCAGTCAACAAACTTCCCTAATATCGCTTACAATAAAAAACAACCCTTTAGGGGATATTGTAGGGAAACATCTCTTTTCATCAATAGCAAAGAACAATAATAGAATTGAATTATTAAATTTTAGTAATTGTGAATTTACAACAGATGTTGGTTTTGTAATGGCTAAGGCAATTGGTTGTCTTAAAAATTTGAAAATATTCATATGTCAGGAAAATAACTTGGGAAATTATATTGGAAAACATCTATTTAAGAAAATCAATGAAAATTGTAGAAATATTGAAAAAATTGATTGTAATACTTGTAACTTTACTTCTGCTCTTGGAAATGTTGTTGGTGATGCAATAGGCAAGCAAACTTATATCAAAGAACTGTCATTCTGGAACAATCAATTGGGAGATGATGTTGGTAGAAGTATTTTTACAAATATTCATAAATATTGCAGGAATATAAAAGTACTCAATTTTGGAAATTGTCAATTTACATCTGCAATTGGTAACATTATTGGTGATGCTATTGGTGAACAAAGAGATCTTAATAATTTATACATTTGGAACAATGATTTTGGAGATGATTTGGGAAAATATATTTTCAAAAATCTTCAAGAAAATTGTTATAATTTAACAAATTTATATATTGGATATTGTGGATTTACTTCAAATTTGGGAAATGTTATTGGTGAGATGATAGGTCAACAATACAATCTACAAAGTTTGGTAATGTGGGAAAATTCAGTTGGAGATCATGTTGGAGAAGAAATCTTCAACTGTATAAAACAAAATTGTAATCAACTTTCAGTTATTAATTGCGAATTGTGTAATTTTACTTTTCAAATTGGAAATTGTATTGGAGAAGCGATTGCACAACAAAAGTATCTTCAAAATTTCAATATTGCTAAGAATTTTCTACAAGATGATGTTGGAAGGAATATATTTGAAAATATGAAAGAAAATTGCTATAATATATCCAAACTTATATTTGATCATTGTGGATTTACAACAGACATTGGGTATATTTTAGGAGATGCAATTGGCCAACAAAGTAGACTTCAAGAATTAACATTCTCCAATAATCAATTAGGGGATACAGTTGGAATTAATCTGTTTCATAGACTCAAGGAAAATTGCTTCAGTATCACAGTATTGAAATTTGAAAATTGTGGATTTACTGCAAATATTGGAGATTTTTTAGGAGATCTAATTGGCCAACAGACCTACCTTAGCGTATTGAATATTGCAAATAATCAATTTGGAAATGATGTTGGAAAATGTCTATTTCAAAATATTAAAAAGTATTGTAAAAATATTTGTGAAATTCAATGCAATAATTGTGGGTTTACCTCAAAAATTGGAAATATCATATACGACGCAATTGTTTGTCAAAAACAATTGCAATATTTTCATATTTGGAATCATCAATTTTTGTATAGAATTGATCATCATCTATCTACAGATATTTTGGTTAGGAATAGATTAGGATAATCAAAACAAACTCATTATTTCATCATCTCTATATCAATAGAGAACCATTACATTTTTTGATTAGTCAAAATTGCTTGTATTTGTCTTGGCTAAGGAGAAATGATACTAAAGATATTATAATACATTTCCTACTAATGAAAAAAAAAATCTAGTGCTGGATGATTCTGTCTATTTGTTGTTTAATAGAAAATGATCAGTCGTCACATTTTTTGGTGTTTGGATTGAGTAACAATTTTCAAATAACCAAATGTTTGCTCATTGTATACATTGACAAGTTACGAAAACTAGTGTTCAATGTTGAAGGTGTACAAAGCCAGTTCCAGCAGAGTTTGTTTCCAATTGATCTTTCCAATACTTTGATTATGAAAACATTTTTAAATATTAAGAAAATATATTTTACTATTGTCATTTCCGGTTTGTTTAATTAATAGAATAATAGAAATAGAGCTGATTTGTTGAGTCATGTTAAGGATACTGGGAGTGGTAGTCATTGTTTCATCCTCTATTATTCAACAAAAAGGAAATATTTTCATAAGAGTAAACATGAACACAATCATAACAAAAGGAAAAAAGTCTTATCTTTTCCCACTCCTTGGATGTTTTTCCCACCCTTTAGGACGTTTTTTCCCATACTCAATAGGAGGAAGATTTTGGCAAGTGATTGCCAATAAAGGTGACAGGATTGGAAAATAACTGTTAGACCAATACAAAATATAGAAAATATACAAAAAAAAACAAAACAAAGACAAACTATTCCAACTTCCTAGTTATTGAAAATAGATATACTTTTCATAATTTCCCGAAAATGTAGTTTATATAGAGAAATTTAATCTTAAGTGAATCTGTTTTGTCATTTGTAAAAGAACATATGTAATCTTTTATTAAAGGTCAGCATTTGGTGGAAAAACTTGAGGTTCTATTTGTGTGAGTACTTTCGTTAATTGGTAAATGATTGCAAACAACAAATATTGTGGTGAAGAGCCAGAAACCTTGACAATTACAATACAACAATATACACTATGTAACATACACAGGAATATACAATAACATTCAATCCAATTATACTTCAATTAGTTATCTTAGAGGCTTTGTTTTTAGGATAAAGTCCTTTTTAAACTATCTTTCAGGTTTTCTCAAGAAGATTTGTTTAAATACATTTTAGTAATAAGGAATGCTAAAATAATTTTCTAACATAAAGTATTGAAATAAGGGACCTTGACCTTACTGTATTTGAGGAAGAAAACAGATATATATTTTTCATAGACTTAATGTAACTAAAATATTCAGATTTACATGATAATACTCTTTGTTTTAAAACCAAGACAGTACCATTAAGGTCAAGGTCATTTTTAACACTGTTTTTGGAACAAACTGTCATAAAAAAATAAAATTAAACATATCGCTAGACTTATTCTCATAAACTGCTTAGCCAATCAAAGAGATGATCAATAACATTTGCAAGTGAAGTAGGGAGAGAAAATACCTTCAAGGGTATATTTAATGGCTATACAATGACATACAAACACAGTCTTATTGTTTAATAATTGAATTGAATTGAATGAGAAATTCAAGAATATCCTTAAGATATCACACATATCCCTGATTTTTTCTTCTTCGTATCCTCTATCTCTTTCTGAGTTTGCTTTTGTGATTCATCAAATCTCTCTCTATCTTCCTTGATTTGTTTTTCTAAATTTTCGAGTTTTTCTAGATATTCTCTATTTTCCTCACTTGTTTTGCTCAAAAGTACTAACTTTTCTTGATAATTATCATTAATTTCTTTGCTGTCTCTTTCTAGAGTTTGAATTTCATTCTCCAATTCTTCAAATTGTTCCTTCACAGAATCCATTACAATTTCTTGTCTATCTATCTTACTTTGCAGTTCATTCATTTCCAATCTTTTTTTTTTCAAGTTCATCCTCAAAGTTAGCTTATGGTTGATTAAGAGCTTCATCCCTTTCTTTAATATACTTTTCCAATTTCTCATCCAGGCTATTTTTATTCTCTTCAAATTTATTTATAAATCCTTCAAAAATTTGAATTCTGTTTTGTAGTAGAATAGTTATCTTCTGCAGGAACGTCTCCTTTAGTGGAATGATGTCATTTTTATTAATTGCCATTAATCTTTGATCTTTATAGACAAGATCAGCAGAATTTGAAAACTTTTGAAGAAAAACATCACCATCTTTCTTTACTTTTGAAATATTCTCTTTTTCAATATCCACATTGAATATAGATGCAGTTTTATCATCAAAATCTTGATAGAGTTTGTTATATTCAATTTGAAATGCCATGAGTTCTTGAAGCTGTTGAAATGACCTTTCTTTTTTAACAAAATCATTCTGACTGAGAGAATGAAGAACAGTTGCCAAATTGATAGAATTTTGTGAACAACTAGTTGCATCATCAATATAATTTGCAAAGATATTCTCTAATTCTGTCTTTACATTATCTTTTGCTTTAAGAAAACTTTGTCCAACATCTATGAATTAGAAAAGATTTTTTGAAAATTTAATACAAAAATTATAATAATAGCTAACCTTTATAATATGAGCTAAAATCTTCACACATAACAGAAATATCTGGTTCAGGGAAGAGAGAAAATTCCAATCTTTTAAAATTCTCCAAAAGTGTATACAAATTTTTACATTTCTGAAAAAGACAATTAATTTATAGGTCTTTTTATTTATTATATTTACCTCTTTCTGTTCTACTCTAAATGCTTCATTGAATTTCCCAAGAAGTAGATCATGTGTTGCTGGTCTATCTCAGCATGTAATAATCATTATCTTTAAAGACAAAAATCATTTTTAAATAATATATTTTTTATGAAAATTTATATTTACACTTTCTTTGGTCTTTATGCAATTTTCATTATCTACCACACCCAAGTAGACATTAAACTAGATAACATAAAAGACAAGGTTTAAAATATTACTGTTTAGATATTTAAATAGGTGGAAAATGATTAGGATTTTTTTACCTTTAGTGTATCAATATCTGTTGAGTCAATCTACTATTTACATTGAAAATACAAATTGGTGAAATACTCAATAGAAATGAAACGGATAAGACAGAAAACGTGCACAACAGAAAACGTGCACAAAAGACAGAAAATGTCCACAAAATTAAAACAATGAAAAAATAGGTGAAAAAAACGTCCCCAAATTCATGATTTAACCCTAACCCTAACCTAGCCCTTGTCTCTCCTTAACCTTTTTGATTGCTCCTAACCCTTAGATGGAACCCCCCCCTAACTATAAATCAAAAGCTACTTTACCCCTCCTAACCATTTTTCAATCTGAAATATTGCTTTCAAAAATCTCATTTGGGGACATTTTCTGTCAGCCCCTAAAATATGGTATGTGGATGGTACTTTTAAAATTGCCAAGGATCTATTTCTCCAAATGTTCTCAATCCATGGATTCTTCAGGAATAATGGAGAGTTGAAGCAGGTGCCATTGCTTTTTTCATTCTTAACTTCAAAAAAGAAAAAATCTTATAAATTACTTTTCAAGGTAAGTTATATTTTTAAATACTTAAATCAATGATAGTTTGTGTATTTAGACTGTAAATGAATTAACTGGTGACATCTCTGTTCAAAAAATTGTTTTGGACTATGAGAAGGCCATTTGGAAAAGTATTAGAGATACATGGCCAGATGTTACAATGGCTGGTTGTTCTTTTCATTGGTCACAAGCCATTTTTAGAAAAATTCAGGTTAGAAATAATACTAATAAATGTAAAAATTTAATCAAAGTTTATTATTCTACTTTTAGGATCTGGGTTACAGCCCAGAATTTAAAAAGAAAAAAGAGAGGGGGAGAATGGCAATCAATGAAAATGATTATGGCTTTGCCCTACCTCCCTCATACTTTGATTGCAAATCAATTCTACAAAATAAAAAGTGAGCTGGCTGAAAGAAATAAGCTTGGAGATTTATTAGAATATGTGGAGGATAATTGGATAAAAAATAGCTTTTGGCCTCCAGAAACTTGGTCTGTGTTTAACCAATCAATCTGCACTAATAATGATTTGGAAGGATTCCATAATAGACTCAATAAAAACATGGGAATAAACTCATCATTTTACACAATTATTGATGAACTAAAGAGAGAGGCTGAGCTAATTTCTGTGTATGAAAAATTATTAAGTGAGAAGAAGATATTGAGAATGCAAAAAAAGTCTATACAGAAATTCAAAAGGAACTGTTTTCCATTTGGGAAAACTTCAAAGTTGGTGACATCACAGCAAGTCAACTTGTTGAGATGTGTTCTGCTTTATATTAATAAATATGTGCAGTATTAATTCAACAGTATAAAAAATATCAAAAATGTTCAAGTCATTTGAAAAATTATGTTCTTAAATAAACTTTTTTACTTGCAATTTCATAATTTTCATTTTCTCAGATCATTAGTATTTAATCAATTAAGAAAAATATATTAATTCATTTCATCTTCTCTATTCTTATTTAATTATTTTTTAAATACTATATGGACATTTACTATTCATTTGTGGACATTTTCTGTTAATCTGTGGATGTTTTCTGTCCATCTGTGGACGTTTTCTGTCAATTGTGGACGTTTTCTGTTGTGGACGTTTTCTGTTGCCCCCAAATGAAACAATCAGATTATCTGTTTTCTTTACATCTGTTGCAAAAAGTCCTTGAGAATCCAAGAAGAAAATGTTTAATGTTTCTCCTTTAATTTTTCTAAAGTTTGATAATGGAATATATAAAAAAAAACAGAAATTATAAGTTTGACCTAAAATTTGAACCTTTTCAATGGTATTTTTGTCTCCAAATCCAACTTTAAATATATCTTTAATTGTTTCACTTTGGTTGTCACTCTGGTATAGTAGACTCATTAAGAATGATTTACCTTCTCTATACCTTCTCATTGAAGAGAGAAATAGACATTTTTCTTTTTCCATACTTTTCTAGAATATCTTTAGCACGTTTAGTTATTTTAGGTGGATTTGAAAGTTCCAACAGTAATACACTTTCAGACATTTTAACTGTTTCTCTAATACCATGCAGAGAAAAAAACAAAATGAACTTCAATTCAAGTAGTTCTCCTTATATACTTTAAATATTTCTTCCTTCTTATAAAATTCATTGGTTTTAAATCATTTTCTCCAAAATGTTTGACATAAAAAAACCAGTGACTCATACATTAATTTGTATAAATAGTTACAGGTTGAGCACTATACACTCCACCAAAGGTGGAAGAATGTTTCAATCTATACAATTGCTAAAATGCTATTGTGATGGTAGCAGCTGTATATCAGATGAAGCTGCAGATATCTTAAAATCCTATAGCAATGAAAAATGTCTTCCAATTGGAGCTATGGGTCTTTTTAGAAAAGGTAAATCATTTCTCATGAATCTTCTTTATTAGAGTGATAATCAAGGTAGTTATGTTGAAAACATATTTCAAGTGGGATTCGGTGATGAATCTGTTACAAAAGGTAAGAAAGATTGCTACTTTCGAATTTCTCGAAAAAATTGACGATATTTTTTAATATTATACTATTGATAGTATAAAGGTTTGAAGATTTTTAAAAGAGGCTCTTAAAGATGAATAATACATGATTTAAAAATGTCTTCTTTTGAAGTTTAACATTTATTTGGGAGTTGTGAAAGATGTGAAAAAACTCTAGATAATGTAGGCATTTATCTCATTCAATCTTCATTAAATTCTCTTATCTGTCCATCTACTTTTCATTTTTACAGGCTATTATAGGAACAGAGCACCACAGAAGAATGCAACATATGGAAAATTTGATACAAAATTAAAAGATTCATTAATGACAGTGAGTATTAGAATGTTGATAAAAATCACACTTAATTAAATATTCAAAATAGGAGAGTGAAAGTATTTCTCAACTTTCAAAATTATTTGGAGAATGTGAATTTTCTCCTTTCCCTCATCCAGCTGCTTACATAAAAGAAAATGATGATAAATTCATTTATGAAGGTTTTCATTTATCTTTAATTTCTTTTTGACTAATTAAAAGCATTGTTCCAAAGATATTGGATTAGAATTTATTATGGCCAAAGACAATCTAATGAAAGAGCTGGATATGCTTTTCAATAGTTATGCTAATGACGCAATATCTGGGTGGGATATCTCTAAAAATATCATCCATTGTTACAATTCTCTAATGGTGAATGATTTTAATATAAATGAAAAATCAAAAGACTAACTTTTGCAATTAGTTCAATGCGAAGAAGAACTTCAGTCAGTTTTTTATAAATTTAATTACTTGCTAGACAAAGTGTTCGTTTCGAAATACAATTACACTGAACTGAAGAAGGTGAACAAAATGAAACCAGTTTTATTAGTGGAGAATGAAAATTTTGTTCACATAAATGTTTTTAATAAAAGTCACCTAACTGAACTGGAACTTTCTCCACTGCTCAAAAAGTGTACAGAGAAGCTTGAAAGTTTATTTTCAATTAGGTACCAAGCATTTGCCAAATTGGTTGAGAGGGCTGAATAACAGGAAAGAAAAAGAATACACATACACTGTTATCAATATTACATTTTTTAAATTTAATTTCTTTTAGTTTCTTTGATGAATTAGATAATCCTCTGCAAATATTTGAGAGTCCTTTTTCCAGGCCTGTATTATCAATTATCCTTGTCTTTTCAATTTCAGTACATTCATTCAACAATATTTCCTGAAAATGATGTATATACAATTGGTAAACAAAATCTATTTTTAAAAATGGGATTAAGAGTTGAAGATAATTTTCATTCATTTCAAAAATGTAGAAAATCAATTGAATTTAAAATTTTCAAAACTAAACCTTGCCAATTCAATATTGAATTATTTTCATTTGATGATAACAAAATGAAAATTGATCAAAGTCAATATTCATTTATTCAAAATTCTATTTCATATGTTGAGTTTTTCTTGAATTTTCCATCTAGAGAAACGTAAAAATGTCAATGTCTTATCTATGGAAAAGAATAAAATTCTAAAAAGAATGGCAAATAAATTGCATAATTCAACCACAACTGAAGTCTCAATAACTTTTGAACCAGGGCTTGTAAGTTGAGAAAGTTTTTAGAGACAGTACATTAATCAATTCACTTTCTATTAATGATAAAAATATAGGCCCACAGTGTACCATTTTAAAAATACAGCAAAACGGCAAGAATTTTTCAGGTGACCCTAATATCTTTCCAGGCTGAACTCTTCCATGAAAAGGATAGATATAAATAAATGTTTATAATTAGAATTGTACTGTGGAATCTTATATTTTTTTAACATGTTCCATCAGAAGCAAAACAAAGTCACTCAAACTTTCATCACTTAAGAGAATCAAATTGCAATTGTCTGGAAATTTTACAACTGGTTGTTGAATTTTCTAAGATTGATAATTTCTTCCTTTCCAGGATTCACTCCAATTTCTGTAAAAGATCTTACCATTTCATTAAAATTTGTATCATTTTTTCTAATGCTTTTCATTGTATTGTTAAAATTTATAATTTCATGATTTCCATTAAGTTGTGATATCAACTCCAATAGTTGTTCCTTGTTGATATTATTTGATATGCCTTGTTCAGTAAGCCACAATTGGAAATTAGATGTTTGAGTTATTTCTGCATTAACAGCTGCACTAGAAGGTAGCCTTTGCAGTTTGACCCTGCATTTCTTCATTGACATGTCACAACAAATGTTGCAATAAAATGATTGATCTGTAAAACATATAGACAGATAAGGATAGTGACAAACTTTTATATTCCAGATATTTCTAGTATATTTTAAACAAATGACAGCAAAGGTGACATTTCTCATGACCCCATTTTTCATGTTCCTATGGTGAAGGGTTTACAAACTGTATAAATGTTCCAATTAGCATTAAACAGCATTCATTACACCTTTTTTGGCTTGTTTGAATTTATTAAGATGCCTTTTGGATTGACTAATGCACCTCCTCGCTTTAGTTATGTAATGAATTCATTTGTGCTAAAGGATGTAAAGCATTTCTGCCTTAACTACCTTGATGACATAATAATATTTACCAAGTCATTGAACAAAATTTTTGAAGCATTGGAGATCATTCTTCAACAGATTCAAAAGTACAATTTTAAGATTAAGCTAAGTAAATGTGTATTCTTGAAAGAACAAGTTCAATTTTTGGGACACATTGTATCAGAGAAGGGGATTGAAACAGATAATCTTACTTTCTCTTTTAATAATGGAAATAAATAAATAGCTCATTATAAATAGATTGTAAATATGACGAAAGAATAATTGAAAATGACATACAATTGTGAGTATTACAATTGCAAAGATAAGTGCATTTATCATACATATCACTCTGTGAAAAATATCCATCATTGGTATGCAAAAGTTTACATTCATTTAAATATTCATGTTGAATTTCCGTTCGGAATGTAGACATAACGTTAAAGACTCCTTTTCTACAATTACTTTCAATATCAATTCCTTTAAGGACAATTTCAAATGATGATGATATTTGATATTCTGATATATCTGATGTAGATTTTAAATTTCCATTACAATCTTTAGTTTGATTATTAATTCTATAGAAATAATCAGTTTGATTGTAAAAGATTGTATTCACTTTTAAATTTTCATCCAAATTATAACCAAAAATGTCCAATTCGCATAAAATAAGAGCTGTATGCTCGGCAACAATCACTGCTGATAGATAACGACCAATTGTTGATTTTGGACATCTCATTGTTAAATAAGGAGGCAATGGTCCATTGTAATAGCCACATTCTACAGGAATTTCAGGTGTTGGAGTAACGTCTTCACTAGAAATGGCTATACGAAGATTCTCTAATCTATCCGCGTGCTCTCCTCTACCAATTATTGTTACAGCCAAAATTTGGCTTTGTTTTACTAAATCAACCTTCCACCATGGGTGTCTATTAGTGAAGGTATGAGCGCATTTAATACCATTTTGTCCATGAAGCCAATTAGTCTCACCATCAACTGCAGTTCCTGGATCTGAACTTTCGTAATAACTACTTAAGGTGGATAATTTATTTTTAGCAATATTTGACAAACTCCACATTTCAATTTGACAAAAAGTTATACTACTAGCTTCTATTTTATAAAAAATAACTGTACTTGCGTAATGTGGTTTGTTGGAGAATTTCATTGTTTTAGTTCCAGAACTTCCAAGTGGAGAAGTAAAAGAGGAAAAAATTTGGAATTGATTGATGTCTATTGTTGAAAGGTCTCTGGATAGTTTCGTTCCAACAATTAAATTGTTAAGTCTTTCCGGAAAACTTGCTCTATTCAAAATCCTTATTGTACGAATGATATACGATCTTTCGAATTGAATTATATACCAAGGCCTGTTTTCATATTCGGATTGACTACAATATTGAAAGTTAGCGAAAATGGGACTAAATTTTCCATTGACAGCCAAATGATCATAGCTAGTAGAATATGTTGAAGATAAGAAGCTGCGTTGTTCAAAAGCAATATTTACATGTTTATATATTGTTAATGGTAATACATTGGAAAAAAGTAGAGAAATCCAACAGATTAACTTAAACATTCTGAACAAATGAACAGCAAAACACTGCAAAATGGAACAACTTCTAACAATAGTAATACTAAAATTTAAATTATTAAATGCTTACTTTTAATTTTTTTTCAGTAATTATAGAAGAAAAATTTGAAATATTGAGTAGTATTCTTTGTATTATTCTTCTTTCCTCTTTATGAATAATATAAAATATCAATTTTTTTTACAATGATTCAAACATTCTTTTAATCATTCCTTCCCTTCTCTTCTATATAATAAATAATTCCAATATAGGCCTACCTAACAAAGTTTCAGACAATTCAAAAATAAAAAGGAACGCTAACCGAGATACACCTAAATGATATTATTTAATATATCACCATTGATAAGATTTGATATGTTATCTGCTCTAATATTTTTTATGCTGCATTTAACTTTGGAAAAAACTTGGAAAGGGTAACAAATGGTTGAATGTGATATTTTGAAAAGCAGACTCCATCTTGGTCAGTTATTTCATGCTGTTGCAAATGAAATTCAAACTCTAAAAAACTCTACTTTTTTTTGTAAATTAATTTTATGAATTTCTGGTTTGTCACAAGAGTATTTGTCCTTATAGACAAAAAATTTATAACAGAGCTCATTACAAGTCTTTTTAGCATATGGATAAGGAGAAAAAAGCTTGTTGTTACTTTAGAGGTATTTCCCATACCTTTAGGTGAGTTTAAAGGCCTTAGTTATGTCACCAACAGACTGATTGTGAAAAGTTAATGTTAGGGAATAGCGCAATCAGTATAGACTGGCAATCCTACAATTGCACTCACACTGTAAGCTGGTTAGGAACTACTATCAAAGGTTACAGTTCCTGGCCTGAGTTATCGCTGCATCTCCAATTGTACTAAACAAAATCTCCACAAAGGTGAGGTGAACCTGTATTGCTGTTTTTAATAATCTCTTCAATTAAAAACTCACAATCATTCATGTGTGTTAACCCTTCATTGAGCAAGTGAAAAAGTGCCTGGTCTTTCCCAAAGAATGGGTTCAAATGGTCAAAGGTTTACTTGAATGAAATAGAAGGAAATGTAATAATCCACCAGATTCTAATGGTGGACTGGAATTATGAAAAGAGTCTATTCTGTGAAAATTCCATTGCCAAACAGTCTCTCTGTCCTTTGTCAAACCTTCTTGCATTGATTTTTGCATTGTCTTAAAGTCAAAGCACCTTGTTTTACCATTGTCTGATCATCTGACATAACAACATCACAAGTATATTTATTTCTGTCATCTCGGTATTGATATGAAAAAGTAGGTGAAATACATTCTCAAAATTGGCCAATTCCAAAATAGTCAAATTTTCTACCATCAACAGTTTCTAAATGAGGATCTCCCCAAGCAATTGTTAGATTACAAATTTCACATACATTGCCTATCCAAAATCTAGAACATACACATTTCAATTGGCAGTTACTGACTAGTATACAAACACCACGACCATTACAACTTATTAATGGTCTACAAAGTGGCTGTTCACATTCCCTGTTTTTCCTTCCTGGTAAACAAATACCATTTAGCCCACATTTGTTTCTACATAAGCATTCCCCAGAATGTGATCCTATTTCCATATAGCTCCTTGAACATCTTGAACATACTTGGAAATGGCATTAGCCATTTACCAATCTATACTTGGAAGTAATTTTGATTTGAAAGATGGTCGTTAAATTATATTTGTTTCATTATCTATTTAGTATTACCCATAAATTGTATTAACATAGAGAGGAGGACGAAACCTTGGTAGGTCGAGTTGGTAGGAAATTATTAAAAAATTCAGAAAAAACTTTTTTCTTTTGGAAATTGTTTTAAATGTTGATTTTGGTGTATTTTTTCTTTGACTGCTTCCCAAAATCGATTGGGACTCTTGAAGTGTGAGAATTCTTTTTCTCTTATTTGATTTAGTCAAAAAAAACCTTTTGCAAACTTAAACCTAACCCTAAATTTTCCGAATGAGGGTAGAATAATGAAAATATTTTTTTCTATCTCTCCGACATAGGGGCAAGCTTGGATTCAAGTTTGAAAGCGATCCGATGATTTTGAAAAATTTTATCCTCACTGAAACTCTGCACTTGTAAAAATTTCGTGAAAATCATTAATTTTTCTAGGTTCATTGTCATGATATTCAAATTTTGCTCTACATTTGACTAATACAAAGGCAAAAATTAATTTCTGATGCTGAAATACAAAGAAAAACTAAATTTACAACAATTCCCTTACTTCCTTTTGCAAGAAAAGAAGTAAAAATTTCAGATATTATAACCTCCAAAAATACCTTTCAACCATTCATTAATAACCTATTTAAAAGGAACATGTATCAAATCTTTAACCAGAAATCATTTCCACTTATGATAACATGCTTTCACTCAAATTCATACAGTAAGTTGAAATTTTAGATAGGATTAACGAAAACTGATAAACAAAGATGTTTGCAATCTCCATATTGATTGTTTAATGGGGAATGATGAAATCTATTGTCATAAAATTCCAAACTGCCCAGACAACTGTAAATGTTATCCATTTCATCATCTGTTCTGTAATTCTTTTGATATTTTCCCAAATTTAAAAATTCTTGATATTTCTTTCACAGAGATCAACTCAGTTGCAATCAACCTATTTTTTGGATTACGTCATCTTTCTTCTCTTAAAGACTCCAGTGCTTGATTCTAAATTGAGAGATTTAAAGAATCTTGAAGAATTGCATTTGAATGAAACCATCTTTTCTGAAAATAATTTAAATTATCTAATGAAAGATTTGACTATTTTACTTAATTCTCTGATTGATTTTGCTTTTAAGATCATACAAACAGCCTTTGTAAGTTTATCATGATCTTTTACTATTTTGAATGAAGGATTATTGGAAACTTGTTCAATTGTTCTTTCATTTGATCTTTTAGACATGACATTAGACATATCATGCTGAATCCAGTTTATAATGTTGCAATCCAGTTGCAACTTCCGAACATGTTATTGTTGTTGACATAGCTGTAAAAAACAAGAAATTTATCATTACAATTCTGTATTAAAAATGTAATGTACGACTTTGGTTATATTTGATGCTTGAACTATATTACTTTATGCAACTTATATACATCTACCTCTTCAAACCTACACAAGAAAATGCCATAACATTGGTCAAACACAGGTCTGATTAGTCAGCTTGAAGGCTCAGCTTTGATTGCCAGTTAAAGTTTGGTAAAGCTATAATTCAATTAACTTTCCTAGAGCACCACAGGAATATTAATACATACGTTTCAAAGTTACTTGAAGAGAGAGAAGAGAAAGAAAAGTGAAATAAATGATCCACTTCATCTTTTTCTGTATACTTGTCAATGTCAAAACAAACTTGAAAATATATTACAGTCTGTATGAGTATTACATTATTTGTCATGATTGCTCAATTTAAAAGAATTATTTAATTGCATTAATGTATTTTTAGATCAATTTTCCTAAAAGTTAAATAAGCTAAAAAATGTTGCTTTATAATAGATTATCTATTATTCAAAGTATTTTTTTCATATTTAAATCTATATAATCTGTCATTAAATAACTATAAATGTGGCATACCAAAGAAAAAACTGGTGTCTAAACAAAACTAGATAGATGAAAAGAATCTAATCTATACCAAATACAATTTGAGTATGTACTTTATTCATTTAGTGTAATGATTCATCTATTTTGCAGATAGAACATTATCCAAAATAGTTTGGGAGTTTTCATTAAAAAACTTTCCCTTTAGAACTAATTGTAAACTTAACTAGATCTTTTACAAAAAAAAAATTAAATATTATATTACTTTCAACTACTTGTGAAGAGCAATAGACTTCCTAATCTCTTTTGCAATTGTACTTTATTGTAGTGTAATTGCAGGGTTAGGTTTTCTAGAAAATATATATTTATGCTAGGTATTTCATTGACTCTGTCAATGGTTTTTCTCATGCTTTCCATCTATATATTTTAGATAAAAAATGTAAAAAATCACAATGTCAACATTTTAGATGCTTTCATTGGTTGATAAAATAAAAATTGAAAGAATTTAGCAGAATGGATCCATACAAGTTGTAATTAAAATACATATCTATTCGAATGTAATATGATGTCATATAAAAAAATGATAAAACTCACATGATCTAATTAAATTAATATTGTATCCAATCTTGATAATGTTGGTCATACCACAATGAAGATAGGCATTTCGTATACAATACCAATGAGAACAAGTGTCTGTTTTTTGACAACTACAAGCAACCAATTCACATAGGCATTCTGAAAATAGATTTTTATGGTCCAAGAATCTCTTTAAACCTGAAAAACTGATATGTCTACATGATCGAGAATTCTTAATTGACTCTAAACAATTGTAAAGAGTTTTAAAAATTTGGCACATTTTCTTAGCATTAAAGTTTCCATTTAGTCTTAAAATGGAAATTCTTGCTTAATTCTTGCAATAATCAGTCCATATTCCTCTACCAGCAGTTCCATCTTTACTATCAG